TTTTTATGCTCAGCTACTAAAATTTCCCTTTAGTGGTAAAATTCCATATAAATATTCAAAACGAAGCGGATTAAAATGTGCACAGTAAAGACATTAAATGATTAAATCTTTTCACTACCAACCAATGCACCACGAGTGCCCCTGTCGGTCATTTTGGCCAGCCAATCACTTACCGCGGTGCCCTCCGGTGCCCTGTGGTGGCTTGTGGGTAGGTTACTGTACCGCAGGTTTTTACCGTGCATTTTGAATGGCTGCATCTGTAGGTAAATGTGAGTACTTTAAAGGACAGAAGGCATGGCTAACAAAGCTATAAACAGAAGTAAAAGAACAAGTAGAAGTTAATTCCACATAGAAAAGTAGAAGAAAAACAGTTTCAGCTGTGGAGTCTTATTCAGGAGTGAAGGAAGGAGGCAGCGAGTAAGAATATGAAGAAAAGGGTTGGGTAAGAAGGACAAAAGAAAGAGCATATGAGAATGATAGTGTGTTCAAAGAAAATCGGGAAAGTGTGAAATGCCAAAATCAATAGCTGGTGGAATGCGTGATGAAGGGACTGTAGATGCAGTTGACCCACCACTAGAAGCAGCCCTAGCTGAGGTTGCAGTTTGTCAGTGTGACTATTTTGAAACAGGTGTCAAATGTCTTTCCAGAATAAATATCCTAGAATCCCTATTAATGTACTGTATACAGATAGTAAGGTCAATGTAATCAAGGCTGAGAGAGACAAAATGGGGAACTTCTGGTCTTCCTGTTTTTCCAGTGTTAATGGCACAGCACTTTCTGCAAGAGGTGCAATGATACATAAGATTGCAAGACAGACATGCACTCTTTTGGTGATCCTGAAGGGACACAGGGGCCAACATGTATACATGAAAGAAGGCTTCAGCTGAGGGGATATCCTGTAAATTGAAAATTTTTAATGACCTTGGTCTTAAGTAAAATGCATTTTCGGGTGCTGGAAATCCTTGTGAAGTGTTGGCTCATGTAAGGGCCCTGCTAATGCAGTGTGAGGGATATCACACTATGATTACTACTGGACCTAAAACAAAGTATTTAGATATCAGGTACTGACATCAACCCAGCAGTTTTCTTAAAAAGCAGTGAAAAATTAGCCTGAGAGCGCAAGTGGAAACTGTGGAAATACAATCAAACCCAGAATTAGAGGCACTTAATTTCACAAAGGGTTCTGGGGTATGGAACAAGCTACCCTACTATATTAAAGCCAATACCCTGACTTTCAAGAAAAGACCAGGTGAGATCCTTGGATCAACTAACTATAGACCACTAAGTAGGGTAGTCTATACTATCAAAAGGACCCTGTTACCTCATTTTGAGATAATTACTAGGGACAGTTTCATTGAGTAAAAAGGTGGTGCAGTTGCTGATGTTGCTCCCAAGGTTGGAGAAGGAAGAGTACAATCAGGATTTATAGTTGAAAATAAAGTATTTCCTGTTTTTGTGTTAAGACACACCCTTGTCAAACTAGGTCTGTGACATCAGGAACACAGTGAAGACAGATTGAAATGTTTGTATGAAGTTCTTAGATACCAGTATGAAGATGGGAAGAATATATTGTTGTATTGTAGAGAGGTTACAGCTCATGATGGTGCTACTGTAGCTTTTAAGGAGATATATTTTTTAAGAAGGTTGTTTGGTTTTCATGCTGCTAGATGGTAAAATATTCTGCTATATTGTGGTCTAGGAAATCTGTCATAGTTTTATCAATAATTCATCTTGTGTGATAGAAGTATATGCAGGATTTCATTAATGTAATATTTGAGTTGGAAACTTTCAGCTGCCATTAATGTTTTATAAATAGTATTTTGTTGTGGGAAGAGTCACAGATGTTTTTAAAAAAATGTGTTGCCAGTCTGATTACCATTTGAGGTGAGTCAGGTCTAAAAAACAGATAAGAAATAAAAAAGGCTAAGAGCAAAAGTACTCCTGGGGAAATGAAATATGGTGGGATGTTGACCCAGTACAGTGCACTGTGAACAGGTCAAACCCCTATGGGGTTGAATGCTTGAAAAACATGTGAAACTATGAGATTATAGGCACTTTTTGCTTAAAGCTTTCCAATATCATTTTATATTTTCAGAATAAACGATATAAATATTGTGCTTACATTCTGCACCGATTAATTTATTCATGTTAGATGTGATCAATCACATTAAAGTGGTGCATTCATAATTCAAGATGTTTTATGTAATGTAAATGAAATCTTAGTTGTGAAATGAACTGTAACCTAGAACCGCTAGATTGTTTGGTTGCCAATATCAGATTTGGGCAATTTTAAATCCTGCTTGTTTGACATTATCATTAATTCAACATGAAACCAATGCAAACCATATTTCTTCATGATAGCAAGTGATTGGCAAAGTTTCAAAGATTCATTCTTATAGAATAAGTTTGTGATGTCTGAGATGCAAAAAGTATAACAGTGAGGAAAAATTGTTTGAGATCATAAATAAAATTGAGTTCAATTCTTTCATCTTATTTTCCAGGTTGATTCAATTCATCCGGAGTGTGCCTTAATTTCAGAGCTTTTAGAAGCCAAGTCTCTGTGTTTTGAAAAGCTACAAGAGGAGTCATTTAACATTACAGAGAAAAGTGGTAAGTAGATATCCAATCTATTAAAAAAAAAATTAGAAATGTAAAACAAAGTGATCTTGTTACTGAAGGTAACAAGATTTTGAGAAACAGGTACCAAATCACAAAGAACTGCTAGCTCATCACAAGCCACCAGCTTCTCCTTGTACGATAATCCACACCTTTTATCAATGTGCTATTTTTTTCAGTAATGCTTGTGGCAATCAAAATTCTGACTCTTCTGTTTTATTATAAATTGGTCTTTAAGCCCAAACAAGTGATATCAGGCATTTGCTTGGATACCCCTTGTTTCTTGAGGTTAATGCAATTGGTTATGTTTCTTTTGGGTATTACCATATTATTTCTGCAATTAATATCAATAGAATGGTAAAACACAGAGTTTGTGGTACATAGGATATACACAGTATATGGAAAATGACTGGTTTCACAGTTTCGAGAAACTGAAGCTTAACACAAGTAGTAGCCCCAAATGGATGGCCTTGTCTTTGGTGTTGGGGAATCTCTTCTCTTGAGTTGAGAATCACAAGGCCTAGTTTGTTCATGGCCAAATTGTTTTATGTTCAGCTCTGTCTTTGCAAATCTCATCTCTACTTCAGAGAGAGGTTCACAGTTCTTCTAGCCTTGTGGTGCCTCAAGAAATACAAATGCCCCATCTGGGCATGTTCCAAGCATGCAGACTTGTCAGCATGAAATGAGTACCCACACCCTGATATCAAATAGTTTGACTTACAGATGGATTATAATTTTCTTTGATAAATATACCAGAAATGTCATTACTGCTAATCCAGTGAAGTCTTCATTCTTCACTCACACAGTATTTAAGAATTAGTACTCCTGGGAGCACACACTCATTGAACCTTTGCTATAATTGCTATAATATAATTTGTTTGGATATTGTCCACTAGCTATATTTAGAGTACATTCATATCCATCTCTCAATAACAATACGTGAACCTCTTCCTTCAAATTATTCTTATCTGGTCTCCAGATCTTCCACAAAATCCTTATGGAAATTTTCTTGTAGCATACATAAATTGGCTTGCGCCTTTAAGGCGTCTAAAAAGGAAACTTCCCCGTTATCTTCATCCTGCCAATTACCATCCAAATTTTAACCTTTTACAACTCCTCCCTCCAAAATGGTTGAAATAAAATAAGGGCTTAGCCCATTAATAATACTGTTTGCCGTCTTGAAAGTCCTTCACTGTTCTGAATTTACTAGCTTTTCCTTTGTCCCTCTCTCTCTACTTATCAGAGCTTTTCAACATACATTAAACTATACCCTGCATTCAGCCCATATGAAATGTGACACTTCTTGGGGTGTGCTGTAATGCGAGGTTTAAAACAAACCATGATCAGACCAATGCTAGCGTTTTAACTGGCCACCTGGAATCTTCTGCTGTTCGTTTTCTGCACACAGCAATTAAGGAGCAGTATCAAGTACCTCATCCTGGGAATTTCTGTTTGGCCAGACACACTTTAACCATCTCGTTTATTAGTGAGCTGATATGGTAATTATTGTGACTGCTGCTCTCTCTACAACTCTTGCCAAAGTAATACAGATTTAATTCAGGCAGCCCTGCTTTCTCTCTGTAGCAATTGTCAATAGCCAGTCCCTTCTGGTATTGGTGCTGGAGCCCAGTTCCTCCAAGGTTAAGATTTTTCACTTGCCCAACATCTCCTATATTTGCTACCAAAGGTCTGAGTCCCCTGAGGGTTTCTCTTTCACTTGTTCTTAAATATGGATCCATAATCCCCTCATGCATATTCAGTCTTAGTACAGTCTCTTACCACATGCACATTTTATACTCTCACAGAGATGAAACAATAAGATATTAAATAATTTCACTATGGCTTATCAAATGTTACAGCACAAAGGGATTAAAAAATCGATTTGCTTAATAAATGCCTTAATTTGGTGATTTATTGCCCTTAAAAAAAGTGGCGTTCTGGGGTTTAGCCTTAGCAATGTCCTCAAAAGTGCCAGCATATAAGCCATCCACACATCCATCCTTCCATTAATCCATTCATTAGAGATTGGTGATGAAAAGTAGTTTTAAAATAATGTTCTGGAGAAGGAATTACCTTATTCTCACTAATTTATGCTAACCTGTGTGTAAAGGCCTTCCCTTTTCATGTTTTCCAATTTATTCCTAATCCCGCACAAAATAAAGGGGGATTCTTACTCCTGGTTCTTAGAGCTAGTTTTCCGTTCACTTAGCCAGGCAAGCCAATAAAACAAAAAATGCAAATCACACATCTACTTCACCTTATTTACGGTTTGGCAAAATTTCCAAAATAACATTAGACTTACAGTATGTCTTTTTTTAAATATATCACACAGCAAAGAATATAACAAAAACTTAACATGCACATGTTCAAAATGTAAATACTTCAATATACAGAAAATTAAAGTTGATATACTGTATCTGTTAATATAGTTTGTTGTTAAAGTGAAAGTTATAGATTCTGATACAGGTATCTAAAGATTTGTTCCTACTGTGTATCAACAACCTGAAAAAAATGTTTTTTGCTCGGTGTTCAGAACAGTTAAATGATTACAAAATACTTTACATAAATGCAAATAAATGCCTTAGAAATTTCTAGTCCTGGGTTTATTTCTAGCCTGGAGAACCTTCCACGTGGAGCTTGCATTATCTCCCCATGGCCATATGGATTTTGCCAGATACTGATTTCCTCCCACAGTTTAAATGCTTGCAGTCTAAATTACGTGTGTGATGTGGCAAATGTGCATCCTGCACTGGATGTGGTATCCATTACTGTATATTATTGGAAAATGTTATAATTAATAATTTGTAAGTGTTGCTATGGTTCTTAAAGCAGAGGTGAAGATAAAGGATGCTCAGGTGAGAGACCGAATTGGATATAGATCCTGTTTAGGTTTATGTAACGTTACAACTGGCACGGCATAGAAGTGCATTATTGAATAAACATTAGTTGTCATTAAGTATGGGTATAGGTACAGTATGGATACAAGTGGGGTTCACTAATCAGAGCGCTTTTAACACAAAATAATTAATGTTTTTAGTTAAGAATGTTGGCATTGTAGTTGAGTCCCTTCACTATTTTAAGTACGGAAAAAGACCTTGGTTTTATGAAAATATATACTGTATATGCAATATTTTGACAATAACAGATTCATCCAAAGGTTGTATGATGTTCATCTATGGTAACTTACCAATAAGAATTCCAAGTGCTAGCCTTATGCATGAAGTACAAGTAGTTTTTAGTTTTAAATGCTTGTTTGACCAGTGTTATTTGATATCTTTAGACTTGTTTTAAATTATTCCTAATAGTGCAGTTTTTTTAATGCTTTATTTTTTATAAAAAAGATTTTCCTATCAAATTATTTAAAGGACGCTAACAATGAACATGTTTATAGACAAAAAGAAAAACTAACAATGCCATATTTTTAGCAATACCTGCAGTACAAATAACTCAGGTACCGAGAAACATTCCTTAAAACCTGCTACTGTAATTGATTTAATCACCTCGTTTTGATAGCATCTCTGATGCAACAGCATTGTGCACCTTATTATTTTTAATTGAAAAATGTTTCACCAATGTATTTTTCTTTCCAATATACTGCGAAGCGGCATTAAGCAATTATAGGATTCAATCAACTGTAGAACTTGGGAGATTAAAACACTAAGTCAAACTAAGCAAGCAGTACGTGTGTGATTAGAAAGTGTAATGTGACATTTGACCCTATTTGTTTTAGAATTTTAGGTGGTTGTCCATCAGAATTAAGCAGCTTTATTTTGCCTAAAAACGGCTGAAGTGTTAGGTATACAGTATCTGTAGGTTCTCCACTGATGTTTGACATGTTTTCAAATATAAATTAAAAAAAAAAAGATCCATTTCAATAATTCTCTGCCTGAATATATCCATTTTCCATTTCTTATACTAAGCAGAACATTAGTAAATGTCTTACATAATGGCTTTCACAAACCACATGGCAATAAGTGGACAGGAAAAAACTTCCATTGGGATGGTTATCCTTTATCCCTACAGTGAAAATCTTCAGCGTGTAGCGGCAATGCTTGTTAATAAGACAGAATAAAGTGTTGCTGTGCTTTCCCAAATGAAGACCCACAGCAGCCACAGAGAAGCTATTCATGCAGGCTGATTTAAAGAGTTAAGGGACAGCTCCCAAATGGGGATGCACTTAGCTAAGCCTGGGTACCATGATCAATGGTCATCCATTGGCGCCTATCTGTCTAGGGAGTGCCAAATGGACATCTGGACTGCATTCCTAAGTGTCAGGAGTAAGTGACTCATATCTCACCTTGATCAACCAATCAGGGACTGGTAGGGCCAAGTAACCCACGTAGGTCTCTGATGCCCATGAAACTTTCAGCCAATGAACGAGCTGAAGTTCTTCCCGGTAAAAACAGGCAACACAGAGAGCCTGTAGTGGACTATTCCAGTAGGAGAATTCTAAGGAGAATTCCAGGGGTGCGAGACAATTCCAGGGCAGGACGGCCCAGGAGCAGAAAGGCTCCCAAGGGCAGGACATTCTCGCAGCGCGCCTCCTGACCATCCTGAGACTCAGCCCAGACAACCACGGAACAGCCAGTATGTCCAAGTGCCAGAACTTTCCTCTGTTCTAAGAGTCTAGAGCAGAGGTTGCCAGAGAGTAACCAAAGGATCCACCCGAGGTTAGCATCAGCAGCAAGCCTCGTGAACAGGTCAGAACTGTGGACAGCTGAATCACTATTCAGAACTAGCACTTCATCAGGAACGAACCGGTCTTCTTCCTATCCTGCTGGGACCCACAGTTAACTTTTCTCCTGTGCACAAACTTGGCTAGTTAAAGCCAGCACTAACTAGCCAGTCTTCAGAGAGCAGCACAGAGCATCAATCCCCTCTAGGAGGAAGAACTACAGTAGGGATAATGGATTGATTCTAAAAGTTTGATTCAGGAAGTTCTGAGATCTAGGTTACTTCTCCTTTGGTTCATGGTGTCCATTTAGTTTATTTTT